GTTTGCTTCTCCAGGGATGTTCCCCTTCACTGCTTTGACCAGTAACGCTCCTGCTTGGCACGAGGCAGTCTCTGGTGCCCCAGCCCTGCCTGCAGATTCCATTTCATGGTGGTTCTGCTGTTGAGGGATCTGGAAGAATCCCATGTGCTCAGTCACAGTGGATGCTGCAAAAGGGTTGGGTGACCAAGGATGATGACTTTGGAGGACAGCTGGAGCTGCTGCCACATGTGGTAACCTCAGCACATAGACACAAGTAGGAACCTGAACTGGGATGGGATTGAGAGCAGGGTGGGTACCAGGTAACTGCTCTATCCCATTGGAGCAACAGCCATGCCAGGAGCTGCATAGAGGCATTGCAGGTCTCAGAAGGAGTACTACTGAGAAGATGAGCTCCCACTGTTGTGTTGCTGTTGGATGTCAAAGCCTGGCAGTGCTGGGCTCACACTGTGCTGCTGTGACCACTTGGGACAGTAGCTGGGACCAGGAGGTGTCACAATCTCCCTGTAAGACTCCAGACCAAATCCAGGAGGAGTCTCGGCCACTGCTGTTACGGAGTTGTTCCACAGCTGCTTAACACTGCTGGATGTGCACTTGTCTGTGTCACCCCTGTGCTAGTCAGTGCTGGGCTCATGGCTGTGCATGGGGGCTCCCTTGAATCAGCTCCCCTGGTCCCCCCTGCTCCTCTGTGTGCTCAGACCTGCTTACCTGGAGCTGCTGCTGCCCCCCAAATGTGACACTCTGAGGTGAAGCCACCAGCCCTGCTGCCTGTGTGGTGGCACTGAGATGTGACCAGAGTGTGACAGGTGCCTCCAGCATCACTTCTGCTCCCATGGGACATCTGAGGGCTTGGGAATGTGACATGGAAACCAAACTGCACCTGGTACCGAGCAGCTGAGAGATGGATGTGCCCAGGCAGGTGTGTGAACAGTTCTTTCTGGACAATTGAAACGTTTGCCTTACTGCAGTGCTGTCAGCGCTCTGGGGCTGCCGGCCTGGGGCAGGCCCCGTGGAGCCTCCGGCCGGCCAGGAGCAAAATAAACTGTGCGAGTTTTGAACACCTCGTGTGCTCTGTGGGTGAGAGAGGGGTGGGAGGCACTCATGGAGAGGGTGGGAGGGGATCTGAAAGCAAACGGGGGTTTGGGGGAGGGAAACTAGTGATAAAAATGGAAACGGGTCTTTGGGGCAGGCTGAAACAGGCCTGGCTTTAGGGAAGGCCAGGAACGTACAGGTAACCTGGCAGTGGTGTAAGAGAAATTGAGAGGGTGATTAACTGGAGGGAGTTGTGGGGGATGTTCATTTCACAGCCCCTCTTTCCACAAAGCCAGCAATAATCAGCCATGAGGGGGGAGATGGTGATGGGGGGTGGCTGGACTGAGCTGAGGGCTGCAGGCACTGTCCCTGTCCTGTGCAGCAGCTGGATTTGTCCCTGGGGCTGTGCCCACTCCCAGGGCCCTGGGCTGGCTCTGTCTGTGTATCCTGAAGGAGCAAGTCCCAAATTCAGGATAAGCAGTCCTGAGGAAGGTCGTGGGGTCAGCACTGGGGCAGGGGAGCAAGGGAAGAGATGAGCAGGGCCAGGAGCATGGTGGAGGGTAGGGAAGAGGAAAGGGCAGAGGTAGGGGCAGGGGCAGGGAGAATGAAGGGGTAAAGGGACAGGGCCGGGGCCGGCACAGGGTCAAGGACAGGGACGGAATCAGGGTCAAAAGTATGGAAGGGTGGGGTCAGGAGCACTGGCAGGGGTAGGGGCAGGGACAGGGATTGCCATGTCAGGCAGCTCAGGCAGGGATTGGGAGCCCTGTCCTGGCTCTTGCCCAGAGTCCCAGAGAAGTTTTTGGGGCCACCAGAACTGCCTGGTCCCCACCAAGTGTTGCCACTGACCAAATGCCAGGCACCAGAAACCCCCAAACTCGCACTGCTGTTTAAGACTGGTGGGCACAACAGAGGAGACACCCACCAGGGCTGCAGTGGGCCTGCTGGGGGGATGAGGAACAACCTAAAAATGCCTGCAGTGGGCCCAGGGCCTGGGCTGGGCGCCAAGGCCATGGTGCTGCCATGCAAGGCACACAGGAAGTCCTGGATTGGCATAAATGGAGCATTGCTGCACTTGCACCCACAGGCACACAGCCAGGCTGAGTGGTTTGGGGTTGACATCAGTGAGAAGAGGCTGCATCAGGGCACTGCACCCCGGTCTGCTGGAGCTTCTGCAGAGGCACCTGAGCCAGCGATTCTCTCCCTCCGCTGCCAGCCCCAAGCTGGCTCCCCCAGAGAGAGGGTCATGTGCCACCAGGGCCTCCTATACAGGGTTTGCACCTCCAGGTTTTGGTAGTGGGGTGGCTGGAAGAGTGGCTTCTGTGAGAGGCTGCCAGAAACTTCCCCTGTGTCTGGCAGAGCCAACTCCAGATGGCTCCAGGATGGACCCACTGCACAGATGGTGGTGACGCCTCAGGGATCAAGGATTTAAGTAGAAGAAAAGAGAAAAGTTACTGTGTAATTGCACTCGGAGAAGAGCAGAGTGAGAATATGTGATGAGCAGTCCTGCACACACCCAGGGCAGGGCTGGAGAAGGGGCTGCAGCAGATTCAGGAACCTGAGCTGAGATTCCCCTGGGATTCCATGGGCAAGCCCTGCAGCCCATGGAGGGCTCAGGGGTGCAGAGATCCACCTGCAGCCCCTAGAGGAGCCCACACCAGAGCAGGGGAAGGACTCCAACTCCTCCCCCTGAGCAAAAGCAGAAAGAGCAGGTGATGAACTGATCATAACCCCTATTCCACATTGCCCTGAACTGCTGGAGGGGAAGAGGCAGAGTTGGGAAGGAGGGAGGTGTGGGGAAGGTGTTTTTAAAGTCTTCTTTTACTTCTTATTATCCTGCTCGGATTTTTTTTTAGTAATAAATTCAATTAATATCTCTAATTCAAGTCTGTTTTGCCCTGAAGCTAATTTGATGAGGGATTTCACCCGGCCCTTAACTCATGAACATTTTGCTGTATTTTCTCTGCCCTGCCCAGCTGTGGAGGGCAATGAGAGAGGCTTTGGTGGGTGCCTGGTGTCCAGCCAGGTTCACCTCACCACAGAGGTGTTGGCAGTTGCTACAACCATTGCAATAATTGCGTTGCAAAGAGCAACTCGGCACGACCTGCCCCGGTGATGCCAAAACAAGGGCAGCCCCTGGCCTCGGGGCTCTCGGCTTGGTTCCAGGTGACAGCAGGGGTGAGAGCCACCGGCCACCAAGCCCGTGGCTCAGGGGGATGCTTGCCCACACACCCCAGCAGCAGGCAGGGGGTGCATTCTGGACCCACACGAGCCGGGACAGGCTGCTGCCATCCACACCCACCCTGTCACACCGATGGCCGGGGTGGGGCCGGCGCGGCTGAACATTAACCCCGGGGCGGTGTCCAGGGCTCCCTGGTGGCGCAGTCCCAGCCCCCCACAAACACCTGCAATGAGAGGGCTCCGAGTCCGCTACCAGCTCCTGGTAGGTCCATCGTGACACGGCAGCGAGGAGTGAGCTCTGGGGCAGCGCTGGGAGGCACCAGCCAGGCTGGACACGGGGCTGGACAGACAGAGGGCGGCTGCTCTGGAGAGAGTGAGGGGCTGGGGAGGTGAGGGGGGTGATGGGCACACATGGGACATGCCCCTGCAGCCCGCTGCAGGATCCAGGCACTCCGGGACCAGATCTCCTGCTCCCCGGGGCTGCACTCGCTCTCCCCTCTTGCCCTCTGGGCATGAGCTGCACCCACAGCCACCCTGAGCATGTGAGACACTTGTCACCAGCGGCCACCAGGACCGCGGCACATCCCCGACCCCTTCCGCGCTGCAGGGTCAGCCTGGCCGTGGGCAAAAAGGGAAAAGGCAAAGCTTCACCCTTTCTACCGGAGCTGCAGTTGCAGAAGCCTTCCCTGCCTTCTGTTCCTCCCTCTCCTCCTCCACCTCCACCCCTTCCTCCCCCTCGGCTGGCCCTACAACCCTTCAAGTTCCGTGCAGCGCTGGCACGGCCTGGCGGAGTGCCAGGGCATGGCATGGCACAGCATGGCACGGCATGGCATGGTATGGCACGGCATGGTATGACATGGCACAGCATGGTATGGTATTGTATGGCACAGCATGGCACAGCATGGTATGGTATTGTATGGCACAGCATGGCACAGCATGGTATGGTATTGTATGGCACAGCATGGCACAGCATGGCATGGCATGGCACAGCATGGCATGGCATGGCACAGCATGGCACAGCATGGCATGGCACAACATGGTACAGCATGGCATGGCATGGCATGGCACAACACCTGGACTGTCTGGAGCAGTGGGCAGCAGGGACAAGAGCTGTAGGCTTAGCCTGGTGCCCGTTCCTGGGAACATCGGGCCCCTTCTCCCAGCCCCTGGGCAGAGGACGGGATTCAGCCGGCGCTGGGCGGGTTCGGGAGCTGCTGCTCCTCAGGCTCCCAGGGGTGCTCACCTCCCGCTGCCCCAGCCCGACCAGGACGAGGAGCTGCCCGTGGAATGCGAGGACCCGGCTGGAGAGGGGCAGCGGGGCCGGGAGGGAGCCCCAGCAGCAGCTGAGGAGGAGCCCTGCAGGCTGGTGCTGAGCACAGCCAGCAGCATCCTACGGGACACGGAGATCCATGAGGTGAGGCACAGGGACCCCACCCTCCTGCTCATCTGCCCCCTGACCACTGTCCCACCAGGAATGGTCCACTGAGAGGCCAGATGGGTGACATTCCCCTGGGCCTGGGACAGTCACCTCAGTCACTTCTTGGGGAAGGATGGCTTAGGGAGCCATCTCAGAAGGGTTTGCAGGGTGAGGACGCTTGAGGGAAGTATCCCAGGACGCTGCTGGGAGGGGAGGGGGCTTGAGGAGACCCCTTTGGGAACGTTTTGAAGGGGAGGAATGCTTGGGACCACCTCCTAGAAGGATGCTCAGGTGGGTGTCTTGGGAGGCTGCTTGGAGGGATGATGTGTGGGGCCTCTCGATGAGATCTCTCACGTTTGTGCTGGGGCACGGGAGGATGCTCAGCTGGTCAGCACCGACCGAGGCCACTGTGCTCCAGCTGGGCCCCCAGCTGCCCCCGCGGCTGACACAGCAGCCCTGGCACCTGCAATACTCCACCAGGCGGGATGGATTCAGCCTGCGGACGCTGTACCGGAGCGGGGCCCGGCCGGACTCCCCGGCCCTGCTGCTCATCAGGGACACGGAGGCTCAGGTAGGGCCGTGCCCTCCCCAGCCCGGCATCACACGGGGCCTGGGCACCTCCTCGCTCCGGTGGCAGGACAGGGACACGTCCCTGTGCTGGGAGCCCCGCTGAACACCGAGCCGTGAGTTTCCCCCTTCTGCCTCCCCAGGCCTTCGGTGCCTTCTCTGCCAGCGCCATTCGCAGCAGCAGCGGCTTCTACGGCACGGGGGAGACCTTCCTCTTCTCCTTCTGCCCCGAGCTGAAGGTGTGGCTGGGGGCTGCCAGCCCTGGGGCACCCCGGGCCGGGGGCTGGCCCTGTCCCCAGTGCCAGGCCAGGCCAGGCCGGGTTGTCCCTGCGGTGCTGGGGGGATCTGGAGTGACGGGGCTGCGCTTGGCCAGACGTGGGGACCCTGCGGGCAGCAGCCCCCCAGGCTTGGCCAGGGCTGGGGTGAGAAGGCGAATCCCTGCGGTGTGCAGGGAGGGAGGCTCAGGGAAGGAACCCTCCAGCTGGGTGTCACCAGGCTCCCTCCACATGGCCGGGCAGTCGCAGCCCAGCTCTGGGCCTGCACAATGTGGAGGCAGCCACGTGTCTGGCACTTCTGGGGGCTGTGTGTGTGATGGGGCGTGGGTGGTGGCAGCTGTCCCCTGGCAGGGCCCACAGGGCTGTTGGCAGGGATGGATCAGAACCACAGGCTCGGCCAGGTCTTCTGGAGAGGTGGAACGTAGAGGTGCCCGAGCAGAGCCATCGTGGCTCAGCAGCCCCCAGCACTCAGCAGTCCCTCACAGGACAGAAACAGGAAAGGGGATGGGGACGCTGCCCCAGCCCACGGTCCCCACTGTGTGCTGTCCCCATGCAGGTGTTCCGGTGGACGGGCAGGAACAACTTCTTCGTGAAAGGGGATGTGAATCTGCTGATGGTCGGTGGGGGCAGGTAGGAACTGCACCTGCAACTTCAGTCACTCAGAGGGCACCAGCCCCCATGGCCATCAGAGCCACCATGGGAACCCAGGCTGCCCTGTGGGGCTGGGTCCAGGCATGTGCTACTGGTTTGAACCCCAAAACACTGGCTGCTGGTTGTCCAGCAGCGCTGGGCCTTTCATTCCCTAACCCTACTGCCTGCTGGAAAGGCTGCCCGCTCCCAGCCCATTCCCAGCCTGTTTCTTTCCCTCTCCCAGCCTGTTCCCAGCCCTCTCCCACAACCCACTCCCTGCCTGCAGGCACGGCGGCAGACCTGGGCCATCTCACGTCCATTTTGGGGAACAGGCAGTGATGGGGGATGGGGATGGTCACCCAGGAGGCGGCGTGGGAGGTGTCCAGCCGTGAAGGAGGCCGGTGGCAGCTGACCGTGCTCCTGGCGTGTTGGCAGCGGTAGGTTTGGGCTGTGGCTGGACAGGGACCTGCACCACGGTGGCAGCCAGCCCTGCGAGACCTTCGACAACGAGACCCTGTCACACCGGGAAGAATTCTGCATCCAGGATCTGGAAATGTGGGGTCTGGCCTGACCCAGACAAAGACACCCTATTGGAAAAGTACTAGAGAGGGGATGCTTTGGACTGATGTCTCGAGCACAGCTGCTCCCTGACAGCACCTGCAGAGCCCACAGGATGCTTCCAGCCTCACCCCCTCTTCCTTTCACCTGTTCCCAATAATATCCCGATTTAATGGGGAAAGACCAGCCGGTGGGGGCAGCGTGATCGGAAAAATCTGCAGTGGGGTCTCAAGCCTGCAGTGTTGCTGCCATGGGGTCAGGAAGCCCAGAGTGTGTGCACAGGCCCACAATGGCATAGCACAAATAACCCTAAAACTAACTCTAACCCTAGCCCAAATCCCAGCCCTAACCCTAAACCCAACCCCAACCCACCTGGCTGGGATGAGGCAGAGCTGCCCGAGAGGGAGGGCACCTGTCAGCAGGGCTGCACACAGAGAAGGAAGCTTCAACAGCACTGATTCTTGCAGGACTGAGCAAGCTCAAGCAGCTGCTGCCCCCGGGGCTGGCTGTGGCATTGCTGGTGACACCACAGTCACCATTCCTCAATAAACTCCTCCTGGCCTCATCCTTGCCCTGGAAGCATTGAATGACTCTGAACACGTGCAGGACCCATGATGGGCCAGGAGCTGTGACAGCCATGTCCTGTCCCAGCCTGGGCTGTGTGGCCAGAGCAAGAGTGGGGGGTCAGCCCAGGGCACTGCTTCAGGGAGCCATCCCCCCTCTGGCACAGCCTCTGTCACCCTGTGAGGACCAGAGCTTCCTCAAGAGGGGGTGAGCGCCCTTGCCACCCAGAGCTCCACAACCTGTTGCCTCTTGCCCAGCTGACAGGGTTTAGTCTCTCATTCCTGGAGGCTGAGCCAGCTCTCCTCCTCCTTGTCCACCAGCTCAAGCAGCAGAACCAGCCCCACAGGGGGATTCCAGGCAGGGGTGGTTCACGGGGTTCCATGGGAGGGCAAGGGCCTGTCTGGTTTGACCACTTTTGATGTATTTATTGTGGAAGCACAGCTGGATATCCAGCTGAAGTATCACCCCATGACCTCACTTTATGTCAGCTCCTGTCCCTAAATCTGCAAATCTGTGAGGTCTGGATCCCATGGAGCCCCAGCCTTCAGTGCTTTACACCCACCCAGCCCTTGAGTACCTGTGCTGAACCTCACCAGTCATTTCATTGCTGGTTCCATCTCCCATGGCCAACCTGTGCCATGTCTCCAGCAGCTGGCACTTACTCCTTGCAGCACACATCCACACAGGCTGTGAGATTCACAGAGATAAAGGTGAGCATGGATTTAACAGAACAGACAGGACAGTGCAGGGCAGGGCTCAGGCAACCTTACACTGACCAGCCCTATTTTTAACACAACTCTTTCATATCGCTCTCCTCCTCCACCTGCAGAGTGCCACTGACCCCCTCCCCTGTTCCAGACCCCCAGTGACACTTGCCTGGAGCCCCCTGCAGCCCTTCAGGGCACCCAGCACCCAGCTCAGGGTACCATGTGCCATCCAGTGCTCCCTGCTGAAAGTGGCTGCACAGCACCATTCCCCCCTGGAGACCTCACCCTTGTGTCCATCAGGACCCTTCCCTATTCCCAGCACTGACTCACCCCTCACCAACACAGAGCCCCTGACTTCAGGCCCATTTCACACTTCTGCCAGTAGCACTGGGATAGGATCTCCAGTTGGGTGAGGTTGGGGGCACTTCTGGAGGTCACCTTGCACAGCCCCTGCCCCATCAGGACCACCCAGAGCCAGCTGCCCAGGATGTGTCCAGGTGGCTTTTGAGTCTCTCCCAGGGTGGAGGCTGCATCACCTCCCTGGGCACCTGCACCAGTGCTCGGCCACCTTCCCAGTGCAGAAGTGTCTCCTGAGCTCACAGGGCCCCTCCTGTGTGTCACTTTGTGCCCGTGGCCCCTGGGGCTGTCCCTGACCCCATCCCCTCTGCAGCCCCACCCTGGGTATTTATCCCCAGGGGTGAGATGCCCTGAGCGTGCTGTGCTCCAGGCTGGGCAGTCCCAGCTCTCTCAGCCTCTCCTCATGGCAGAGATGCTCCAGCCCCTCCATCGTGGCCCATCATGGCCCTGTGCTGGGCTCTGTCCAGTCTGTCCCTGTCCCCTGTACTGGGCAGCCCAGCTCTGGGCCCAGCACTCCAGGGCTGCCTCACTGGTGTGGAGCAGAGGGAAAGGGTTCTGTACCTGCTGGTAACACTCAGCCTAAGGCAGCCCAGGACACCACTGGAACACTTGGCTGAAAGAGGAGTTGCACATTTGTCGGCTCCTGGTGAATTCCTGGATCCCTTCCTCTACACTGCCTCATGGGTGGGTGGCCTCAACACATCCTGGTGAAGGAAATGGCCCTTCCCAGATGCAGGACATTGCACTTCCTCTTGGTGATCTTCAGGAGGTTCCTGTCAGACCCCTTCTGCAGCCTGCTAAGATCCCTTTGGATGTAGCCTATCCCACTGGAGTACCAGCCACATCTCCCATCTGCAAATGTGCTGAGGGTGGACCCTGTCCACCAGTACTGGGCCTCTGCAACTGGACCCAGCACCAGCCCTGGGACAAGACTTGTGCCATTGATAACCCAGACTGAACCCAGTTCTCCAGCCAGGCTTTGGTCCAGCCCTGCCTGCTCACCCAAATCCTATCTGGCAGCTCACTGAGGCTGACCCCAGCACTGCTCTGCCCTCAGCCCACGGCACTGTCAGCACAGAAGTGTCCTGGTTGGTCAGGCATGACTTCAGCTTCCCTTCCCCTCCCCAACAGCTGGAGCAGCATCTGAAACTTCCCTGGCCCCTGGAGTGGCCATGTCCAGGGTGTGGCAGGGCCAGGTGGCTGCACAGTGCACGAGGAGTGCTGGGATCCTCCCTCAGCCCTGACCCCGAGGAGATGTGAACCAAGAACCTCTTCCAGAGGGAAGCTCTTCCACAGACAGTGGGTAGGAATACCTTGACTGTGTGGAATGGTGCAGTAATACTGTTTTTAATAAAGTCCACACACCACAATTTTTTAAAAGAATAGTAAAATCATAGTTTATAAATTTACTCTTCAGAGAGGATGAACATGTTGAGAAAAGAAATGCTCAGAATCTAACGTTAAGTATAAACTTTTGGTTTAACATAAGAAAAAGATCTTTCCTGAGTATAAAGTGCAGTTAGTAACAAATTAAAAACAAACCAAATCAACAAGAACAAAACTGTATCAAAACAATACTTGATTTCAAGGCAGACAAGGGAGATAAATGCCTTCCCTCTAAGATATTGTTTCACAAGGAATAGTAAGTTTTTAAAAAGCTTTTAAAGAGGTCACAAACCCTTCTAACCAGTTTCCTGGTTTGAAATACCGCTAGACAGGAACACCAGAGGTTACACCTTCAGACACATGAGCACAGATACAGAAGCAGCAGAAGTACATGGATTTTTTACTCATTTTCCCTCCCTCTGTCTAACAGCATCAGTTCCCAGGATAAAAAGGGCAAAGGAGACATGGCAGGAGTTCTGGAGTTTTCTCACAGCACCTTCCCACTGGGTTATTTTTCACTACCTACTCTGGCCACCCACATCTGACTGCCTGAGCCAGATGCTCAACACCTCTCTCCCCCTTCCAGATATAAAGATCAGAGATGGCTCAAATTCCTGAGCATTACTGAACCTTTTACTTTGTATTTTTAGTTTTGTGGTCAGAGTTTTTCAAGCTTTGAGGTTTTATTTAATGAAAGCAGCCTTCCTCTTAGACCTGAATAAAAGATGAGAGGAAAATGGTCTTCCTCAGTCACCTGTTCAACAGCACAGACATTCAGAACACTCACACCAGTACAGGAAAACTGTAAGAACCCTCACACATCTGCAAGAGACAGAAAAATGATACAGGGATGGCCATGAGATCCAGAACAGGATGGGGATACGAGAATGGAGGGGTTCCTGATGAGCCTGTCTGTCCATTACAGTGCAAAGCAGAGCCAAGGTGCACTTGGTGCAGGATGGGCAGAGCAGGGCAGAACCCTGCTGCCACTGCCCTCTCTGCACACCTGAGCCTGCCAAACACCTGGGCAGCTCAGCCTTCCTGCAACCACTCACACCACTGGGCTTTTGAGCAGTCTTTGCAGGACAGACAGCAAAAAATGTAATATTCTATGTATCAAAAATCCACAATAAAACAATAAAAGGCTGCATGGCACTGCAACGCATTGTTACTTCAATAAAAATTGAGGTCACTTGTAGCAAGAGGCCTGCACCAGCTTTTTGAATACCAGAAAAATAATCTTTGATTATCAAAAGATTCCCCTCTCCCTTCCTTTTTTTTTTTTTTTCATGAAATTAATTTTGCTAATTTTGAAGATGCCACACTTGGTAATTTCTTCTTTACCCCACTGTATTTTCAGAAGCATACTTATCCCTTTCTTCCTCAGACACTAAGAAAACCCCAAGCCTCCAAAAAACCCCATCAAACCTGGGCTGGGATTTTTTTTTTCTAAGTTATGCAATAGCACAGCTGAGGAAGGGATCAGGACTTGATGGAATAGTAAAATCCTGTAATAACAATTAATTGCAGTTTTTAAAGTTACTCTTGCTACACAGTGCCAGTACATTCAAAAATAAATGAGAACTTAGTTTACTCTGTTGTAATAAGTTGTTTTTCAGAAGTCCACCTGGAATATACACTTTAAGTATCTACATTAAAACATTCTGTATTGTAAAATGCATTCTGCATTGTTCTGCGAATTCTTCCAGTCTGTCCAGTTTTTAGAAGAGTTGATGCTCAAATTTATTCATCTTCTGAGGAAGCAGACTGAATAGTGCCAAAAAGAAACCTGTTACTCATCAAAAGAAAGTCTTTGTTTGCAGCTGGGCTCTGAGGCTCTCCTGTGTTCATCATCTGTCACATTATTCCAGGTTTCCTTCATTGGAGTTAGATGAGGAGCGACAACATCACCATCCTAGTATTAAAATTCAGGAAACATTAATTCACTTTTGCTTTCCTGTCTAAAGCAGCAGAGAAGTAGCTTACTCTCAGATTAAAC